AACGTTAGCCGACAATAATACAAGTTTCTGGCAGCGCAGCATCTCGTTGTCATATTTCTTTTGCACTGTTTGCTGATTTTATTCAACAAAACTAGCATAAGCCGAGTGTTTAGTGCGAGTTGGAGCTGATTTGCCGTATGGTGAATGCAGTAAGTGACTGTTATCATCAATAACGTGACCTGATTAGAACAAAAGTTCTGAACATACAAAAACAGAAAAAACTTAATATTACCTATGAAATGTTCTGCCTTTGTGCTTTGTTTTCTTTGTTTGCTCGTTACTACACCCGTAGACAGCAATAAAGTCCCGCATCTTCACGTAATAACACTGTCTTGACTAGGGTTGTAACGGTATGAATTTTTTACGGTATGATAATCGTCTAAAACAATACCACGGTTTGACGGTTTGGCGGTATACGGTATGTTACAAAATAATAGAAAAGTGAAGCAAATTTGACTTTTTCCAAATAATATATTTTCATTTACTATAAACAACACCACTTACAATGAACAAATAAAAAAATAAGAAAATAATAAATAATGTGTCAAAGTCCAAATAAAGTCCAAATAAACATGGTGCAAATCCTCAGTAAAAAATAGATATAAATATTTACTATACTATAAATAGTTACATAATGAAACTAGATTCAATATGGAACATCCTTAGGTTTTATGTGCCAGCATGGATATGGTTGTCTATCGATATGGATTTGGATATGGTTGTCTGCAATGCAGACAAACAGCTGCATCTTCATTTGTGTCTTTTGAAAACAGCAAGAGCAGCAGTTCGTCTTTGCTGTGTCACTGTTTTGTCATGTTTCTGTGCTGCTGTGCATGCAAAAGTATTTAGTATGAGAATTATTTCATGAAAAACTTTTTTTTTGCGTTTTATTTAGCCGCGCATAAATGTATGCCTATCTCTCATTCCGTGTTGTTCAAAAAGCTCATGTTGGTCCACAAACAAAAGCGAAACCTATGCTTATTGGTTGTGATATAGCGAGTTTGAACCAATCTGGGCATGGAGGAGGGACAATGCATCAATGTATCATGTCTGGTTTGTCCGGAGACACAGTGACGAGCGTTTCTTTGTCAAATCAGCGTTGTCAAATGTTGATGACGTAACCGCACTGATTCCGGAGCCTCTGAAAGTCCGCGAATGTTATGTGATACAGCACTGGCAAAGCTGAGATTCTCTTCTTAATGCCAATCTTTGAATTGTATGAATCGGATCAGCGGATCAAAAGTTATTAAACATTTAAGAGCAATACTTATTTTTAGCCGCGGGCGGCTGTCTCGGTCTTTAAGGGTTAAAACCGTTGATATGCAATTGTTCATGGTATGATAATCGTGCACGTTCAAATCGTGGTAAACCGTCATACCGGTATATTGTTACAAGTCTTGACTAGTGCGGTTGATTGACATTTGTCCTGGGAGCACTGTACCAATGTGGCGGCGCTATTGACGCATGCTCAGGGTCCCTATGCAATATCTAATGTATATATCTATGACTTGACATAAGCGAGTGGCGTGAGCAGCCGGAAACATTTAGATGTGTTTGTAGAAAAGGCCTTTTATATAATGCACTGATACCGTTATTAGAGATGCAACGATTAGCCGATTCCACTATTAACCTCGCTTTAATTCGCCTGGTTAATAATCTTAAAGGTTTCTCAAAGCTGCGTTTCTGTTGCACAGAATGAAACTGCTGCAACTAAATGTTAAACAGTCAACTGTGCGCTAGTTTACAGTTCCGAGCTTATACACTGCGGCTAATTCGCACTGGATTAAGCATAGCAGCAGGCCGTTCACATATTGCGTCTGTTCAGCATGTATATTCAATGGAGACGTGCGCATATTAAAGCGGTGCACGCACAACAAGGGTCTGGCTTGAGTTGAACTTGCATCTTCAGGCTTGCACGCTCAGGCACCCACACTTCCTGTGCAAGTGACGTCATTTACAATCGACACCTGCACCTGTCACGTCACTTGAACTCAACACAGATAAACCAAAAGTAAGTTTCCAGCTCGTTTGCGTTGTCAGTGACGACGTTGTCAAATAATTCGGTAACACTTTACAATAAGGTTCATTAGTTAATGTTAGTTAATGCATTTACTAACGTGAACTAATCATGAACAACACATGTACAGCATTTATTAACCATAATTGAACATGCATTAATGCATTATTAACATCCAAGTCCATGCTTGTTAACATTAGTTAATGCACCATGAGTTAACATGAACTCACAATGAACTACTGTATTTTCATTAACTAACATTAAATAACATGAACAAATACTGTAGTAAATGTATTGTTCATTGTTTGTTCATGTTAGTAAATGCATTAATTAACATTAACTAATGAGCCTTATTGTAAAGTGTGACCAATAATTCCAAGTAGCCAACTTACGCTGCACAACATGACACCCCCCACCCCACCCCCCGAAAAGCAGCTAGTACATTCATCATTTGATTATATGCTTGGATGTAAATTTACCAAC